GTTCCGTTCTGGCAGGGGCCTGGTCCCTGCATCCGAGTCTACAGATGCCACCTTTGCTGGCACAGGGGCCAGGTGCTGCTTCACAGAGTAAGCCTTACCAGTTCTAGGCCCTATGGGTGAAATCTGTTTTCACAGGAGTCATAGGCATAGAGATAAATGCACACAGAGATGAATACAGTGGCAGAATGTGGCCAATGAGCCATATGAAGCGGCTCTGCCTGCTTCTCCTCCTCCACAAGTATGAACCAAGGCAAGGGGAAAGGTGGGAGGGTAGGACCCACAGGGCAGGTGACTGTGTTCAAGACTCCTGGGGGAACTGGATTTATAGGAGAAAAGAATGTCAAGGCAAAGGCCAATCCAGGCAAGGTGGCTGCATGAAAGTGGGAAAAGATACATATTGGGGTGGCCCACAAAGGGGACATCGAGAGGTGACTTTGAGGCCCACCTCAGAGCAGGGTTGGTGCAGGGAAAAACTGTGACTGCAGGCCAATGGCCCAGAGCAACTGCTGTTCACCTGCTGTTTCCCTGGCTGCAGAAGGCTGCCTGGAGTCCCTCAGTCCTCAGGACCACCAGCCAATCCTTCCCTGCAGGTGAAATCAAAGCACAGTGAAAATGAAGACCAGGCTCAAAGCTACAGAAGGGTAGAGTAAGGCCTTTCCTGAACGCTTAGGCATTGATATCCTTCTTCTCTTCCTCCCTTGGGCTGCTTCTTAAAGTTCTGCTTTGGTTCCACAGAACAGGAGGAGTCCCCACAGCTATGGGAGGAGACAGTGGGTTCCTGTAGATCATTATGCTGGGGAGTGCATGAGCCAGGCTAACAGTCCCCTCGCTTTCTCACCCACTCACCTCTTGGCTGACTGACTAGTACGAGAACCACCAGCCAACCTCACAGCAAAGCCAAGGTCTGTAAATGGCTTTAGAGACATGCAACTGCCACATCTACAAGGAACATGGCTGAGTCCAGTCACCCCTCCCATCATCCCAAGTTCTTGGGCCTCCTCCCCAGTCAGTAGAGTTTTCGCATCAAAGTTCAAAGAACAAGGATGTTGAGGACTAAATATGAAATAAATGTGTTCAAATTAATTTTTCCCACCAAAGAGCCAAGCAGAAAAATAGTTTTCCTGGAACACAAGTTGCTCCTACTGTCAGAGGAAGCTGTATTGGCTCCACATGGCTGCATTTCACAGGCCACTGGGTTTACTATACTGACAGTTTTCTGGGAGGCCATCAGGCTACACACATAAAGACTGATAAGAATCTTACCAATTTTCTCAAAAGATACTATGAAGAATGCTACTTAGTACACTACAATGTCCTCTTTGGAGAACCCATGAAAGAAGAATTCTATGGTCTCACTAACAGAAAGAGCTGCTTCTACTGAGCAACCCGTTTTTACTTTATAGGTATTAGCAAAACTTATAAAACTTCCCTCTGTGCTTTGGCTGCTAAGAAGGCCAGAGCTAGAAAAGCAGTCCCATATAACTAAAATGTACAGGGTAGAGGCATACCACTTTTGTGCTAATCTCACCCTTGATTTCTTCTTTTCTTTCAACCTACCTGCCTCAATTGCTTTTATTAAAAATCTTGTTACAATACAAGCACCTCAGATTCCTCAAATCACTTAACAAGATAATGGACTTGCTAAGAACAGAATAAAGAGAAAAAATTCCTAAATATAAGATTTTATTCCAATACCATAAGAAAATAAAATATGATGGGTTGCGGGTGTAGCTTGATGGCAGGGTGCATGCTTCACAGGGTGCATGCACCAGGCCCTGGGTTTGATCCTCAGTACCAAATCACCACCATCACCACCGGCACTAACACCACATCAACAGAACCTTCTAAAAGGTAAGCACAGAAGAAACACTTATTTTATTTTATGGAAGGAAATGTTGCCCAATTCTAGAATTACAAAAATCAAATCAATCTTTAAACACAAGAAAAAGGCAAAAAGATACTTAGGTTAGTACTTCACTATTCAAAAATGTGATCCAGGACCAGCAGCATCCATATCCCCTAAGAGCTTTTTGGAAATACAGACACTCAGGTCTCTCCTATAGCCTTGGAAGCAGAACCTGCATTTTAGCAGAATCTCCTAATGACTTGCTAGGCACACTAATGTTTCAGAAAACACCAGGCTGGTAAGTAGGATGGTCTTGTCCCATGGCTTTATGATCACTGAGCAAGCAAGCGCACACATGCCAGGCACACATAAGAAATTTATGGTCCTTGTCCAGAAAGCTTCTGCAATAAGATACTTGAAAAAGCTCACATCTTGTGGCAATTTTTTAATGGCTAATTATGAAATGTCACAGCTATAAGGATGTTCCCAGAAAGAATAGTACTGTGGCTATACTAAAAACATAATCACGTATTTGAATTTCTCCTGTGAGTAAGAAAGTAAGAAAGGGAACGAAGATACTTGTTTTGGAGACATGAAATAATTTAAAGAGAAGCTGACATGCCAAGGGGGGGTTACAGTTGGAAGGAAATACACATTTCAGTCTGTTTCCTGCAACAGATGAGGTACAGGAAAACCTGGAAGAGAGGTAGTAACCCCCATGGGTTGCATGTGGCACCCCTAGGTCAGCAAACAGTCCAAAGACAACAGGAAGACTTCTTCTACTTTTCACATGTCTAGAAACAAATTTAAAGACAGGAAGCAGTTTCTTCATGAGAATAGATTTAGTTCTAAGGAGAAAAGCCACTCAAAGTTCACCTGTACAAACTCTGTCTTTTGCCAAAGACTTTTTTTTGCTGGAGGTGGTGGCACATTCTTATAATCCCAGCAGCTAAGGTGGCTGAGGCAGAAAAATGGCAAGTTCAATGCCAGCCTCAGCAATTTATCAAGGACCTACAGAATTTAGTGAGATCCTGTCTCAAAAATAAAAAAAAAAGACCTTTTCTGTCTCTCATCCTAAATATTTTTTGGCAGTCACATCAGGCACCATCTATTTCATGCCTCTGCCACATGACCAATCTGAGTAACACATCACATTAAAAGTCTACAGTGGCTAGACATGGTGGTGCACCTGCAATCCCAGCAACTCTGGAGGCAGAAGAGACCAGGAGACCAGGTTCAACTCTGGAGACCAGGCTCAGCAACTTAGTGAGAACTTGTCTCAAAATAGTTCAGTGGTCAAGCCCTGTTGGGTTCAATCCCCCATACCTAAAAAATAACAATAATCATAAAAATAAAATTCTTTTAGAGCTGGGGTTGTGGCTCAGAGGTACAGCGCTTGCCTAGCAAGCAATGAGTTCGATCCTCAGCACCACATAAAAAATAAAATAGAGAAATTGTGTCCATCTACAATTAAAAAATAAATGCTAAAAAAAATAAAATAAATAAAATTCTACTGTGATACTTGGTCAAACTGTTATTTGGCACCCAATCTCTAATAGGTGGTAAGACTGTAGAAACATAAACAGATAATCTATGGAATATTTTTCACCATGGGAAGAGAATCAGGAAAGGTTTAAGGGATTTTCTTTTCTTTTTTAAAATTAAGGATCATATAAAGACTAAAAAGCAAGAGTCTGAAGGGTCAAGTACTCTACAGAAAGTTAGTATTGGTGAGTCTGTTCAAGTATCTGTTTATTTTTATCCTAACAACTGCTGACAGCTACTAAATATTTTCTTTGTGCCAGGAACTATCTTAGGCATTTTATTATCAGTATTTTATTCAATCCTCAAAACCCACGGAATAGATACTATTACTAACTCTACTTCACAAATGAGGAAACTGTGGCTCAGAGAAGTTAATTTACAGAGTTTTTAACTCAGCAGAGTTTTAGTCTGATTTGACTTAGCCTAAGCTCAGCTGTGAGAATTAATTGGCCCAACAAGTTAAAAGTATAAAAGCTCCTGTTTTTTCAACTTTTGGCCCCACTACTGCTTTTTGTTTTCTTCCGGCTTCCTTCCATCACTGAGTGCCTTCATCAGGCTAGGGGCTGGGGAAAACACAACACAGGGCGGTGTGTAAAAACAGTGGTTATTGAAAGCAGCCCAAAAGAGGGCAGTGATCATCAGTTTTAGAATGGGGAAGAACTTTAAAAAAAAGCTTCCTAGAAGAGGTGAAACCGAGTCCCTTGCTCTTTTCTGTACTGAGTGGAACAGAATTTACCCAGATGTTGAAGAAAGGGCCTGGAGGGAACAAGGTGAGAAATAGTGACTTGCATTTCTTTTAATCAATCCCAAAGCAAACTGATACAAAACCCTTTGTCGTGCCCTTTAACAAGATCCCTTACACCCCAGATCTGAGAGCTGATGGGGTATATGCCAAAGCTAGCTCCCTTGTGCCCTCGCCACCTCGGACACAGTGAAGTCCAGTCTGCCCTGGCTCTGGCAGGTTTCCGCTCATTTTATTACAAACAATACACTGAACACAACCTAGTAATTATAAAGGGTCTGGAATAGGTTTTGGACAAGCGCCCCTGGGCTGCTAGGAACCATTCTAGTGATGACAGCTGGAAAGGATAGCTCTTCTGGGTTAAAAAATGAGTCATTTTGCTTTTCTTCCTCTGCTACGGTCACAGCGATAGGACAGCGTTCTTCCTAGCCCCGGCATCAATATCCAGAAAGCGAGCAGAGAATCGTTCGTCTCGATCTTTCCAGTGGGAATGACCCTGGGCTGCGTTCGCCCGGATCGAGAAGCAGGGTTCCCCCGCGTGGAGGCAGACGCGCGGCGCAGCTGCGGGGCCGCCAGATGTGTGGACACGCGCTCCCTCCGCAGGCCCTTGCCGCTCCCAGCCGTTCTTCAGTCCTTCTCCCGCCCCTCACCTCGGCCCGGTTCGGTATGCAAGATGGAGGCGAAGGCACGAGGCGCCCCCACCCCCAGGAAGCCTTTGTGCCCTCCAGCCCGCAGGGCCCCGGGCCTCGCAGGCCGCCCAGGAGAGATCGCGGAGCGGAGGGAGCCGCACCGCAAGCGCGGGGCTGCCCAGGACGCTATTCCCAACACCCGGCACCCCGACACGTACGTCAGATACTGCCTACTCACCGCACCTCGAACCTTCGCACGTCCTGGACAGCCCCGCAGTCCCATGCGGCAGCCCGAGCCCGGGATCCCAGGCAACAACCGTGGCCCTCCCGCTGGCGCCCGGAACGCTGGGGCGGGACCGAGCACCGGCCACGCCCCTCGGCCCTCCCTCTCTCCTTCCACGCCGGGAGGCCGGAGCAGCCAATCTGAGCCCTCAGTGTGGAGACTCCACCAATACACAGCCCGCTTCTACGAAAAGACCCCGCCCCTTACATCGCCTTGGCCTATGGGAGACCGGATCTGCTTTGGCCGACCGCATCCTCGCCTTAGGCAGTCCCGGTTCGGGTTCACTTTTTCGCGGGTAGCGGGGTCGTGGGAGGGCGCGTGGTCCAGGGGCTGGCACCGGAGAACTGCCCGGAGCTTCGAGGCAGGAGGCGCGTTCTCCTAGTTGTCGGCGGGGCGGCGAGTCAGGCGTTCATTCATTTGTTTTGCTCTGGGCGCGCGGACGTGCTCTGGACACGCCGCTGCCGGGGAGGCGGGCTCTGTCTTGCTTTGAGCGTCTGTTTACTTTGGCGTCTAAACCTGGTGGCCTGACGCAGGCGACAACAGGTGCTAGCTAGGGTTTGTCAGAAGCAGGAGCCGCTGGACGATCGCTCAGCCCGGCGATTGGTATCAGCATTAAGGAAGAGGTGGGACGCAGGCTGGTTCGGGAGGGAGAGAAGGGATAAATGAACCAGGAGCTGCTTAGTGGCACTCTGAGCAGCCTGGTCAAATGGGGAGTTGGTGATAGAGTCCGAGAGGAAGTGGGAGCCAAGAGGCCTAGGAGCCTAATTACCGCCGAGTAGAATACTGAAGCATAGAGGGTTTGTTTTTGTATTTTGGGGGGGTACTAGGGATTGAACCCAGGGGCTCAGGCATGCTAGGCAAAAAAGTTTTACCACTGAGCCCCTGAATCATTGAGGAACTATTACCTGGCAGTCATGGGGAAGGGAGACACTTTGTAACCTATCTCAGACCCTCCCTTATGATTTTCTCTCAACAACATTTTTCTGATTTCCACAAAATGTCCCCCCAGTTCATTAAAAACAGTCTGTAAATGAGAACCGTGAGCAGGATTTGAATTCCTTTGCATCTCCTTGACCCCTATTGCAGTTAGGAGATAAGGTTTTCCTGAACCTGTCAGGACAGCCGCAGTTAGTCCTCAGATGGTTTTGTTTGCTTTTTGGTTTTTAGTACTATAGATTGAACCCTGTGATGCTTAACCACTGAACCACATCTCAACCCTTTTTATTTTTTATTTTGAGACAGAGTCTAAGTTGCTTAGAGACTCACTAAGTTGCTGAAGCTGGATTTGAACTTGCAAACCTTTTTTTTTTTTTTTTGGTACCAGGGATTGAACTCAACCACTGAGCCACATCTCCAGCCCTATTTTGTATTTTATTTAGAGATAGGGTCTCACTAAGTTGCTTAGTGCTTCGCTTTTGCTGAGGCTGGCTTTGAACTTGCAATCCTCCTGCCTCAGCCTCCTGAGCTGCTGGGATTACAGGCCTGTGCCACCATGCCCAGCTGATTTTGTTTTTAAATAAGAATTTATTAGCCTATGGGAGGCTCTGGGTTCATTTCCCAACACCAAATAAATGAATCCACAAGTACCACTTGTATGTTAAGTAGTAGCCAGAGATTTCACGTATTATTGTTACTTACCTGACATCTGAAGGCATTTGTGTTTGTGGCCCTTGATTGTTTCAGTACTCATAGGAGACCTCCAGATGAGTCACTTAATCCCACAAACTTGAGATTTGGGACTTTTCCAACATAGCTGAACACAGAACTGGAACAAGTCCAAACAGGCAGCCAGGTCTGGCCAGCAGAGAGTTGGGGCACTAGATCAAGTGAAGGGAACTTGAAAGAGAATCAAAGCCAAGTGAGTAAGTACTCAGAAAAGCTAAGGAAGTTATGGGTGTTGGAACTTGAGATAAACAGACCAGAAAGGAAGTTAGTAATTCTACTGTAAGCATAAGACAAGCATGTTATACTCTATGTATGTCAGGACCCAGGTCAAATCTCCCCACCTTCATCAGCCCTCCTTGAGATCCTCAGCCAAAGGTATTTTCTCCTTTGGCCCCCCGGGTAGTCATCTGTTTTTTTCTATGACCTTTGTCATTTTGTACCCTGTATGATTTTCTCACCTCTGAGAGGGGAATAGAATAGATGAGTTCCATCTTCCTTTTTGCTCTGAAATTCTGAAATATTGTGAGCATCTTTTGTTTTTGCCTGACAGTAATCTTTCCTTTGAGGAATTGTCTGCATTCAGTTAATCAGATGGTTCTTTTGTACCACAATTCTTTGAGATGGTGTGGAGAAACGGCAGCATGGAGCCCAGGCTTAGCCAACTATAATCCCTCTCCTCTTGTTCTCAAAGGTTTCCCAAGGGATGGGTATATGAGCCTACCTGACGTGGTCTGACCCCTTGTCAGGGATATCAGAGAATGAGGAAGGGAGAGAGAGGCTCGCTCTTTCCTCTGGTACTTGTAAGTGCAGGTAAAGTAAGCCTGGAGGCTGTGCATGGTTATACTCTTTGCACCAGAAAAGCTAGAGAACCAGACCTAGAAATAAAATTCTGATCCAGTAGCAAGTTACTTAGCCAAACCATTTGCTCCAACCTTGATTAGGGTGCATGCCTGCACCTTGGTGTGGCCATGAATTATATTTTACCTTTTCTGTGAAATTATGCCTTCACTCAGGATTCATATTTTGGAAAGGACCATTTGCTGGGTCTAGTCTAGTTATATGCTTGTGTTCTAACTGCCAATAGGGAAGGGGCATTCTGGTTTCTACTGTGGCTTCTATTCAACCTGTTGGCTTCTAGTGTGGGGAGGAGGGGCCCAACTTAATTAAGACTCACCCTCCAACTAGAAGACTAGTTAGATCCTAGGTAGCCAAAAATAACCCCACTATAGTTTAGCCCTTAGGCTGCCCAATAGTCACAGACAAGCTTCACCCTATGCTTTCAATTTTAAATAAAAATACTCCCTTACAACATAATCAACCATCTCTCCTACAACAGCAAAATGTACTTATCACTTTCCTGAGTAGGATCTCTCAAAGTCTTATCATTTATTGTATTTGACCTAAGTGCAACATCTGTAGGTGGTGGTGTATTCTTCCTCTAAGTTTCAACATCATCCCATCTTAATGTTGTAATGTGTAGACTAAATTTTAAAGTTAATCATCATGATACACTTTATTTTGGTACTGGGGATTGAACTCAGGGCATACACTCTATCACTGAGATACACACCTGGAGCATTGTTCTGTTTAGCTATGGTGTTTGGAGATTTATTTTTTTCAGCAATAGATAATTAATCACTAATAGCTATGTACATACTAAGGCTATCTACATTGCACTCTTTCAACTTTTCTTTAGGTTTGCAGCTTTTCTCATGACAAGAATAGTCTGGCTGGCCACTGCAGCCATCCAGGCCGCTACCCCTGTGTTGGGCCGGGTGCCTGAAGTTTCGGAGATGTTCCACTAGGTCAAGTACTGTGAGGTGGGTGATATTGAACCACAGGTTCAGCTTCTTCAGGCTGGAAAAGCCAAGGAGGACTCTTACAATGCCCTAGCCTCACACATAATTTCAGAGGATGGGATAATCCCCTGGTTGGAGAAGCTTGAGAAGTCTTTGACTTCCCTGTCCTAAAGGCTTTGTGGGTAATTTTGTTTGTATAGTGTGGAGCTCTTCTGCCAGTAAAATTTTTCTCCAGAGTCATGTCTGATTTTTTTTTTTTTAATCACTGCCTGCCTTTCTCAGGTGTCATCTGAAGACAAAAATACCCTGGGGTCTTTGCTTACATTCCATGTTGGTGGTTGCCAGCTGAACCTCAATAAGAATGCACACCCTTGATCATCTCAGAGCCAAAGGGATACTGGGATTGAACCCAAAGCCTAGTGCATGTTAGGCAAACACTCTACCACTGAGCTACTCCCCAGCCCTGGATGTGATATATATTTTAAAGTACTTATTGACTAACTTTTTTAAGTATAACTATAAGTGAAATGAAAAAAAAATTTATTTGGAGGAAATCCATATCTAAGATTTTATGTGTATTTCTAGTGTGGGATTTTATTCATCTCAGCAAAGAGGCACTTTACACAGATCTTTTTATTTGACTAAAGTGTGCATGTGAATGAAACAATAAATGTGCTACTATAATTATTTTTAGAGAAAGCAAATACTCTGTATTTTAAAGGATTGGTAATACTTAAAATATTATATGTATACATGCACTATACATGTATCCAGGGATTGTCTTTATTAAAGTCTGTAATAGAATTATTAAAAAAAACAAACAGTATGGCTAGCATACTGTTGTTAGCTCCATGGCCACTACACACCAAATACTGCCACTGTTTACATTTGATGCTGCTGCAGTAAAGTTTTTCTCAATGGACTTTGAGTCTCTGATTCGGTAGCACAATCATCATGTGCTGAAGCTCCAACTTCCAGGATGTGGGGCTGGAAAGTACCTGACCCTGTCAGCTTCTGTTTGTGGGATTTATGGCCTTCCCTTCTGCCAAGACTCACGGGCAGTAGGAAGGGAGGAAGGAAGGAAGTATAGAGAAAAACATCTATACTTCCTTCTATTCCCCAACCACTGGAACGCTTACCTGCTATAGGAGTGAATGAGAACAACAGAGTTCCTGATGACCTGATTGACTTTATCTATGAGACCCATTATAGTACCTAAACTACCATCTCTTTCTACCTCTGCTTTTACCCTCCTGCAATACCAACACCTATGTGTCTTTAAAGCCCCTGAGAAATGATCAGATTGTTCAGCTGGTCACTAGTTAATGGAAGGTGGACTTGCTGGTCAGAACTTTCACTCCAAGCTACTTCAGAAGGTCTGGTTGGCCAATAGCATGGCCATGCTTGGGACTGGGGCTCATTGCAATCCATTCATCTAAATGGTAGTAGCAAGTGGCAACTTCTGTAGAGGAAGTTCTTCTGTATAGGACACTTCCACCAGGGGATGTTGAAGAAGAATGAATTTGCTCAGACCTTCCCTCCTGTTTCACTGACAAAAAGTGAAATGTGTGCACAGGAGGCTGACCTGAGTGAAGACTGTGTGGACTTGGGGT